TGTCATTCAGATAAACGACTCTTTAGTTGGTCTTTATATCAACAATTTGAAATAAAATAAATACAGTCAGCTTATGAACTTGGTATTCATTATAGAAGATGGAAACTTCGACTCTTTCTCTCAAATTTATAAAAATACTCAAAATGAATCAGAGGTCAACTTCTAAAACAAACTGCTAGAACAAGAGGTTTAACATTGATCTTGAAGGCATTGATATGGTAACTGTTCATCCTTAATGATAGTATTCTCCAAAGTAGAGGAAACAAAAGCAAAGTTTGCCGAATGGGGATAGAATATGTCAAACCCAGAAGCTTCAGTATAGCGAAGGAGAAAACCAACAGGGTGATCCAAGTTGTCATATATTAATAGAATGGAGAAATTGCCAAATGGTCACCCAAAATGTTAGTACCAGAATATTTGAGGAATTTGAAAGACTCAATGTGAAAAAAAGTCCAAAGAATTCAAACAGAAACATGCAAAAATTGTGAATAGACACATCTCGGAAGAAAATTTAAATGACCAAAGAAGTTTTAAAAAGAGATGAATTTCATTAGTTTAGTTGTCATGGAAATGTAAGTCCAAAGCCTCACTACTGAAACGTCATCTCTCCTCGGCTAGGATGTCTGTTATGAAGAGCACAAAAGGTAGCAAGTGCTACTGAGAATTGAAGAGGGATGCTCATACACTTTTGTTGGGGATGCAGATATAACACAATCGTGGGGAAAGTGTGGATGTACCGCAAGGCACAGCTATCCCACTTCTGGGTATATATCAAAGGAAAAATGACCTCAGCATATCAAAGAAAAACCCTGTGTCTATGCCTGCTGTGGAATACACTCAGTATTTAGACTGTAGAATCACCTTAGGTGCCTAGCACAGAATGGTAGATAGAGAAAATGTGGTACATATGCATAATAGAAACTTCCTTAGACATTTAAGGAAATGATACTCTATCATATAGCAAAACCGAAGGACTTAAAAGACTTTATGGTAAATGAAATAAAGCTAGATAGGGGAAGAGAAGTACTTGTGTTCTCTCAGATATAAATGTTCTAGATACAGTAGGTTGGAATTTATGATAGTGATTACCACTTGATGGGAAGGGTGGTGGTGGGCCTGGCAACAGGAGGCTGGTGTACAGGACCACAAGTTAGACAGACAGAAGTAACATTAGGTGTTCTTCCTAAGAGTTTGTGTATGTATGTATGTGTGTGTGTGTGTGTGTGTGTGTGTGTGTGTGTATGTGTGTGTGTGATATTCCACAGTAAGCTATTGCTTATTTTCTAGATAACAGAATAGTAAACTTAAAGGCTTCACACACAGTAATGAGAGGAGATGGAAAATCAACCATGGCTTATTACTTGGATTTGACGTTATAAATTGTATATACATATTGAAATATCACACTAAAATCCACAAATGTGTATGTTTAAAGTCATCCTAAACACACAAGGAAAGCAAGGAAAACTGTTACTGTGGAACTGGGCGGCATGAACATCAAAAACTAAAATAACACATGAAAGACAGAAATGTAGCATCAAACAATACAAATGCACAAAAAGAACCAGACCTATAGAGAAGTGAGTAAAGAATACACAGAGCCAAAACATTGACTTTTTTTTAAATTTTAGGAAAGTATCATGGTATGTCTAAAATACAGGAGAATCATCTCCAGTAAAACATTTCCGTGGTAGTTTTTTTTTTCTTTAATAATTTGAACGAATGCAAAGTCAATGATTGTAGCATGGAGCTTGGCAGCTGTTTGTAGGCTTAAACATTATTATCAGCTTGGCCTGGCTATGAAAATCATTCATATTTTTTATTATGGCTCATTATATTCATAAAAGGAATGAACCAAATTATTTGGTACCAACTCCAAGGATTATATTTCTGGCAAATACTCCATGTTTAACAAGAAAGTATAGTTCGGTTTTCATTCATAATAATTCACTCATTTATAATAGTGTGTGCTTTGTCAGTATTTACACTTTGAATAGGGATACATTCTAAATTAATTAAAATTTAATATATTTATATACACATATACTGGGCAGCATCATAATAAATGTAATCTTGTTGTGATAAACAGGCACTCAAACCATGTTCAAATACTTATTCCACAATTTTTAGTGGAAAATGTTAACAAGGAATATTGTTAAGAATAGCCACTGGTTAATCTGACCCAAGACCTTTACCGCACACTGCCACTTCAGACCCTTGTGGGAGTCATAGCCATATGATTTCTTACATAGTTTGACAGAAGAGCCTAATCCCTCACCACCCACCCACCCTCCAGGCTGAGAGAGAAGCCATGTCATCACATGCATGCATCTTTGCTGAATCTCAGTTACCTCACCTTATTTGCGGATTATGATATCAGGGATGAAATCCCAAAAGTTCTACCATAAAACTTCTAAAGATAATTAAGAATTTCAGCAAAGCGTCAAGATACAACATCAACTTATAAAAATCTGTAGCCTTTTTAAAAATATATCAATAACAAACATTCTGAGAAAAAGAGATCATGAGAACACTTTCATCTAACAACAGCTTCAAAAAATATCTATGAATAAACATAACCAATGAGGTAAAAGGCCTCTATGATAAAAAGTTTAAGTCTCTGAAGACAGAGATTGAGGAAGACAAGGAAGGACTGCTAGTGCTCATGGATTGGTAGAATGTTGTAAAATAATCTTCCTACCAAAATAAATTTAAAGATTCAATGCAATCAAAATTAATACACACACCATTCTTCAAGGAAATAGGAAAGATATATGAGAATTCATATGGAAGAGCAAAAGGCCCCAGAGAACTGTAGCAATCCTGGACAAAAAGAATGATACTAGAGTGATTGCCACACCAGATGACAGCTACATTCCGAAGTTATAGTAGTAAACACAACATGGCACCATCACAAAAATAGGAAAGTAAAACAATGGGAGAGAGTGAATGGAAGACCAAAACAGGAGTTCCCTTAACTACAGCCATCTCATGTTTCACAGAGATGCCAAAAATACACACCATAGGAAAGACAGCATCTTCAACCAGATTGTGCTGGGAAAATTGGATGTTCACTTGCAGAAGAACAAAATTAGACCCATATCATTCACTGACACAAAATCACCTTCAAATGAATCAAAGACCCCAGTGTGAAACTTGCAATGCTAAAACTTCTAGAAGAAAATATATGCAAGCAATACCCTAGAAGTTATAGGAGTAGAAAAGGACTTGTCTCAAATCAACAAAACAACTGACAATAAATGCCTATGAGTCCTCATTCACTGTTGGTGGGATTGCAAACTGATCCAGCTATTATAGAAATCAGTGTGTGTGTGTGTGTGTGTGTGTGTGTGTGTGTGTGTGTGTGTGTGTGTGTGTGTTGGGGGGTTCTCTATAAGCTAAAGATAAATCTGTGGCGTGACCCATCTACACCCCTTCTTGGCTCAACTTCTTTTTTGTAGAGATGCTTGCTTTATTCACAAAGGTTAGAAAATGAAAATTGCAGATGCCTTTGACTGATGAGTGGATAATGAAACTGGTACATATATAAGACCGAATTCTATTCAGTTGTAAAGAAAATGAAAGCATTAAATTTGCAGGTAAATAGACAGAACTGGAGAACATTACACAGTAAAGTAACCCAGACCCCAAAAGACAAAGACTGGATGTTCTCTCTTATGTGTGGATCTTAGCTCTGAATCTTTAGATGTGCATCTCTATAACATGAAGTCATCGCAGAAGTCAGGAAAGAAGAAAGAGAGCATGGGGAGAGAGGAGGAGGAGCTCCGGGAGGTGTGGAGAATATAGTAGGAATCAGGTGGTGTGAAGAGGGAAAGGAAGAAAATGGGGAGGGAGTTTAACTGGGGAAGGGGGGGAGGGAGAGATAAAGAATGCTGGGGGAGTTTGAAAATTCCATAGGGACACATATCAGTTTATGTCTAGGAGTGGAAAGGAAGCCATGACTTATTTCACTGCCTGTCAGCAGCGGTTTGTGAATGACTCAGTGCAGGTGGGTGTGTAGGAAGACTGTAGACAGAAAGACTTCCACTGTGATAAATGCAGCCCTAAAAGCAATGCTGCAGGCGAGAGGGTGATTCCCAAGAAGCCAAGAGCCAAATATCCTAAGGGAAATAGTGAACAGAGTAAAAGGCAAGCAGAGAGAGCCATTACAGACTGTGTGTGGGATCCATGTAGGATGAAGGGGTCATGTACTCACTATTCTGCTGGGATGTGGCCACACAGCGATGCCCAACAGCTCCGCTTTAGCTCTGCAGCCTCCGAGGTTTGGATTTTGTACTCTGAGGTGTGAACACTTCTTTGCACTGCTTCAGTTTCCCCAGAGCCCAGTGTACTTCCCTCACTTCTTTGTCCCCAAGAAAGGTAGGGATACTTGTGGTTGAGATAGGACACCAATCTTTACAATACTTTGTCAACTTCTCTAGAACTGATAGATTGAACAGCTTTGGCAGTTCAGCTGTTCTTTATGAAATGCTTCTGCCACATTGCCTGATAATGACTGAATAAGGATGCTGCCAGGACTCTGGTTTACCTGTGGTTTTTATCAGCCTTATAAACATGATGCTCAGTCTCCTCCTTCCAACTCTAACTGCTAGTAGCTAAATGAGATGGCACACACCAACTTCTACCTCCCCAGCCAGAAGCCAAATAGCACCCTCACTTTCACATTGTTGGGGAAAAATGGGGTTCTATGTGATAGCCCTCCTGGGCCAAAGTCATCATCTCTTTATTCTTTGTAGTGTGTTCTTTTGTTCAGAACTAGAACAAAATTCTTGTATATTAAAATGATTCCCTCAGACACAGATGCCTCCTCCCTTTCTCATTCTTATTCCAAGGAGTTACATTTTCTTTTGTTGCTATGTCTAGAAAACAAAATCTAATTATATGGCTAAAATTTAATACCATATAGATAGTGCATATGGACATTTAAATCATACTAAAGCTACGGCACAGGGACAGAGGAAAAAAATAAAGTCACTGACGTCTCTATCCAGAACTCTTCCGGTACTGTTCAGGAAAAGCATCTGTTTAACAGGGTCCAACAACACCCAGTAGTCCACGTTGTCCTTTAGAGAGAGCTCTATGGTGGGGTCTGGTCCTCCAGCAGTCCCCTTAATCAACATGTTGTCCACCAGAATTGTACCTGCAAACCAAACACAGCTATTTTTAACCAGGCTTTACTCAAAAGCATTCTTTAGCAAGAACTATGCTTTTAAACCCAGCTAGCTCACACATTTCTGCCAAGGCAGAGCACATTCAATATTGTACTAAGCATCACCAAGTTATTTTTCTTGGCCCCAAAGCTGTAAATATCTATCTTCATTATGCAGTTTGTCAATGGTGTTTGGAGATGATGCAGGCAGGGGGCAGAGTTTCAGATACTTGTTTCTCTTTAGCAGCACTGAGTCTCTCCTGTTCCCTGTCCATCACTTCTCTCAGGATTTATCATTGAACGTTTTATCCTGAACAAAGGAAATAACTGTAACAGCAGAGCAGGATACCAAACCCACTCAGTGAGACTTCTGATACGAAAAGAGAGATCTTAACAATGAAAGAGAGGAGGAATGGGATAAAAAACTAAAGGAACATCAGGACTTCCCACAGTGAGAAATGCATCTTGTTCTAACATGTCAGAATAAATTCATAAAACACAAATCTTAATGCTACCACGTAGACACACAGCAGTAGCCACTCATCTCAAAGATAAGTCTAGGGCACTTGACTGCAGTGACAAACTCTTATGATTTTACATCTTAATGCTTAGTTTCTTCTTTTTTAAAAGCAGCTCTTGAATAAAAATGGAAAAGAGAGCATGCCTCTAACATTTCTTCTCTGCAAAAGATTCCACATAGTTTACAAATTGAAAGCACACAGCAGCAATGTGACTCAGATTTCTTTTTTACCACACAGTAATGATCTTCCTGCCAATCAAGAGTGGATTACTTTTTTTTTTTTTTTTTTTGGTTTTTCGAGACAGGGTTTCTCTTTGTGCCTTTCCTGGAACTCACTCTAGCCCAGGCTGGCCTCGACCTCACAGAGATCCACCTGCCTCTGCCTCCTGAGTGCTGGGATTAAAGGCATACGCCACCACCGCCTGGCAACAGCTCAGAGTAGTCGCTTTCTGCTATATAATATTTTTTGAACAGCATATAGAAAAAACACAGCCATGAAAATAAAGATGAGCTCTTCTAAATGCTAGAAGAAAATGGAAATATTTAGATAATTCCTTGCCCTGGGACAGGATGCAGATCATATGTAACCCACAAACATGAAGCTGGGCTGGAAAAATAAAATGTCAAATTTATCAATCACATTTTGGTAAGGCAGGAAATTGGCCTAAACATTATATCATTACATAGCTACAAAATAAGATTGCATCATCATTTGATTTTCCCCCTGTACTTTAATAACATTAAGGTAGAATACAAAATATTTCTTAACAACACTATTGATATGCTTTATCTTAGTCTAGGACATTTTGAAAGGAATTGCTTTTCTTTGTAAAGTGGACCTGTTTTGTTGATGTGCATATTCATCACACGTTCCTAAATTCTAGATATTATCTTCTTTTTCTCTCTTCTGTAGAATTATGGCAATAACTGGACAGGAGTTTCTACCCTAAACCATATGTTTATCATTGAAGCACTTCGTGTTTTCCCATCTGCACAGCAACAAGAGCTGAATAACACCAATAGACACTTACACGCAGTTAAGATTGTAGTGGTGCTAGCCCTGAGAATGATGGCCAGACATCTTCATCAGCCTCAAATACTAGAGTGTGTGCTTCTGCTTTGAAAAGATCTTTTGTCTTTAAACAGATGTATTTAATTTTTTTAAAAAACAAATATCCATTTATTCTTTTGTGTTTAATATTTAAAAAAACAAATATCCACTTATTCTTTCTCGCCAAGAGGCTACACGTTTTCAACTATTCTTAAAAGGATAGCATGTTTGCTAACAGACAATAAATTTATGAGACAAAATCTTGAAGACAGAATGGTATTCTTTTCTTTTTATCTTATTGCTACCGTATCAGGGTTGGACAATGATTTTTTTCTTTTCAACTCCTTTTTTTTTGGTACATAGTGTTTTTTTCTATTATTGAGAATAGATTTTTTTCACAAAATGTATCCTGAATGTGGTTTCCTCTCCCCTAACTCCTCCCAGATCCTCCTCACATCCCATCTCTCATTCAAACTCATAACCTTTCTTTCTCTCTCTCCTTAGAAAACAAACAGGCATCTAAAAACAATAATAAAATATAACAGAAACAGAATCAAATAGGACAATACAAGCAAACAGAAGAAAAAGAGCCAAAAAGAAAGTTCAAGAAACACATAGAGACACAGAGATACACATGTTCATACACACAGGAATTCCATAAAAACAAACTAGAAACCATAATATATACTCAAAAGACATGTAAGGTAAATAATAATAGTAGTAATAATAACAATAACAACAACAATAAAGTTCTTTCAAAGCATTATGAGTCAAAGAACTTCCAAAAATGCTATTGAGTTTATTTTGTGTTGGCCATCTACATCCAGATATGGGGCCTGCCTTTAGGAATGTTTTGTAAACCCATTGAGACTCCATCAAAGAAAATTAATCTTTCCTTTGAAAGTGGTTAGCATTTGGAGACAGCTTCTGGGGTAGGTATGGAAGCATGTGTCCACTTCCCCTCTCATCATCACAACCCCATCTGACTCAGAATCTTGCCAGCCCAGTGCATACTGCTACAGTCTCTATGAGTTCATATGTATGCCAGCCCTGCTGTGTTTAGAAGGTCTTATTTCCTTGGTGTAAACCATCCCTTCTGGCTGTTACAAGCTTTCCACCTCCTCTTCTGCAGGGTTCCCTGAACCCTGAGGGGAGAGATATGATGGAGACATCCCATTTTGGATGAAGTTTTCCAAGGTCTTTTACTCCCTGAACATTGTCCAGCTGAGGGTCTCTGTATTTGTTCCTATCCCCTGCAGAAGGAAGCTTCTCTCATGACGGCTGAGCAAGACACTGAGGAGTATAGCAGAATGTCATTAGGAATCATTTAATTGCTACATCCCTTTAGCAGAACAATAGCATTTGGGTTTCCCCTAGGTCTCTGGCCTATCCAGTCTCAGGCTCTGGGCCACCCAAGTAGTAGTGTTGGGAAAGGACTCCATTTCATGGTGTGGTCCTTAAATTCAATACAATATTGGGTTGGTTACTCCTATAAGCTTTGTGTCACCATTGTACCAGCCTATCTTGCAGGCAGGCCACCATTGTAGATGAGAGGGTTTGTAGCTGGATTGGTCTTTACCTTTCTCGTGTGGCAACATGCAAAGCACAATGATCATGAATCAATAGGATGAAGGCTCTAGGTAGGCACCAGCTCAACTTCTCCATGTTCAATGAATAGTATACGTTTTTGTCTTCAGAAACGGGGCCTTATCATCTGTTTTTAGAGAGAAACCAATGGCCTTGGCAATAGTCTGGATTGTTTAGAGATTACCATGGGGCCCCTCTGACCAACAACTCTGTTAGTTGTAACTCATTCCAGAATTGGAGGCTTCATTTGGTGACAAGAGATATTCAGTTGGGACACATAATATACATGTATAAATGCAATACAGAGACAGTGGATTTGGAAGTACAGTGGTTCACAACCAGATATCTCCTGTTCCTTTGCAAGTCATTTAATTTCCTTAAATAACTGGCTGCAATGCAAATGGATCACTCTCTAAAATTATTGAGGAAGCCTCAGCATGGAGGGGAGGACCTTTGTGTTTCTAATTAACCTAATTTTGTGAAGCTTAAAAATATATTGTAGAGGGAGAGGGAATAATGGACTGATTGGGCTCATTCCAAACTCTAAATACATGTATTACATACAGCCTCCTAGACGATGCCATGATCAATTAATTACCCAAAGGTGTCCAAACACTATGAATTCCTTCAGCTTCCCCAGTAATGTTTCCCTAGTTTTACCCACTTGGAAAAATGGTACACTGTAAAACCACAGAACATTTTGCTTTCTTGCACATGTTATTCTATGGGAAAAACAAAAACAGAGAAACAGGAACTGGATTCCAAGATCAGTAGACTAAAACAAGATTCTTCTTATACATGAATCTTCTCTCCTACATCTTTCTAGGATGCTCACAGAAACAGTCTGTCATCTGATTTTCTCCCTTCTTGGTTTAGAGACAAGTTCTATAGGTCAGTTAGGTGCTTGCACTTACCGTATCTACACAAGACACTGCTTTGTGTGACGAAGCATACCTGTTTCTAGCAACTTCATAAAAAAGTTTTAATACAATTTTTACTTGAATTGTGATTTAAATACTAAGAGGCTATTAGCAGCTTGTCATTCTTTCTAAGGATGAATAATGGTGCCTGCCAGTTAAATAGTAGACATGTGAAAACTCATATAAAAAAACACGATGTTTGGCAAAATTATGTTTTTGCTGCAATTTAAATTATGTATATATATATTAAAAGAGCAAAAGTCATGACAAAATACTTTACTAAAATGTACAGACTTCTTAGGGTATAATATATTTCATATACTTATTTTAACTTCATGATATTTAATAGATAATGTGTCAAGCATTTGGTAAAATTCCATGTACAAAAGTTTAGAAATAGAGGCTTTTTTCCCTCCTGAGCTTTTTCTTTTGAAACTAGTAAAGCAACCTTGATATTTAGTCAGCAAATAATGTCTACTTTACTTGTAAATTAAGTATTAAGTAAATAAATATACAGTATGCAGTCTCATGCAAATTGTGCATACTTGCTCAATTTTCATTTATCTAATGAGGAATTAAGTCATGAAAATCTAGAACCAGGAAGAAACTTAGCATTCAAGTGTGTGTGTGTGTGTGTGTGTGTGTGTGTGTGTGTGTGTGTATGCATGTGTGTATCTGTTTATGTGTATGTGGGTATCTGTATGTGTGCATGTATATCTTTGTAAGTGTGTGTATCTCTGTGTGTGTTTATGTGTGTATCTATCTCTATGTGTATCTGTGTGTGTATCCGTACATGTGTGTGTATCTCTGTGTGTGTCTATCTGTGTATATGTGTGTATCTATGTATATCTTTGTAAGTGTATCTCTGTGTGTGTTTCTGTGTGTGTATCTATCTGTGTGTATGTGTGTGTAT